TCAAGAGTCTCCTCCAGCACCATAGTTCAAAAGAATCTATTCTGGCGCTCGGCCTTCCTTATAGTCCAACTCTCGCAGCCATCCATGACTGCTGTATTCAGGGGTCTTGTTGTAGAAAAAGAGCTGCCGGAGCTCATTAGCATAACTCATTAGCATAACTTATTTGCATATGCCACGCCCCCTGACATCACCGGAAGTGACAGAAGGCCACACCCCCTGACATCACCGGAAGTGTGTCAGAAGGCCCGGCTACTTACCCTCCTGCTTCATCCTCATTCCCAAACGGAATGAGGATCGAAGCAGAGGGCGGGGTAAAGAAGGGGGCGGGGCTTCACCACGTGACCGCCCCGCCCCCTAGAGGTTCTCTTCCGGAGCTCCGTACCTGAGAGCTCCCCCCCGACTAGAGCCCTGGCTGGGAATACCATTGCTTTGACCACGCGGACTTCTGTTGGCAGGGAGATGTCTCTACTGTGGAGACTTGTAGTCCAACTCTCGCAGCCCTACATGACTGCTGGGAATACCACTGCTTTGACCATGCGGACTTTTGTTGGCAGGGAGATGTCTCTACTGTGGAGACTTGTGAGCAAAAATTCTACTTTGTGAGGTACTGGCATCAAAGTTGTGGGGCGAGCGGTTTGGCTACCGCACACCTCAGTGTGATTCGGAGGCACCCTTCCTGAGCCAAGGCAAAAATGGGTGAGCCGGAGGAGGTTAAAAAACGGTGAGCTAGCTCACGCTGACTCGGCTTAGAGGGAACCGTGGTGGTGGCCAGTGTTCCCTCTAAGCTGAGTTCGTGTGAGCTGGTGGACCTCCTGAGGACACCTGGTATTTCTGGCCACTGTGTGACACAGAGTGTTGGACTGGATGGGCCTTTGGCCTGATCCAACATTGGCATCTCTTATGTTCTTGTGTTCTTATGAGGTAGCTCACAGTTTTTTTAGCTTCTAGCTCACACACTTTTGCCTCGGCTCAGGAAGGATGGGCACCAGAGCAAACTAATTTGCAGCAGCTAAGTCACAACTAAGCTCACAACTTCCATGCTAGCAGCTCACAAAGTAGCATTTTTGCTCACAAGACCCCACAGCTTAGAGGGAACACTGGTGGTGGTGGGGGCACCAAGATTGGTCAAGTGCTGAGGAGGGCCCCACCGGTGGGCCTTAACCCGCCCCTGAGGCGCGCTTCGTCTGCCTCATGGTTCCTCTGCTGCCCCTGGCGGTGAGGCAGGGCGACCCCGCCCCGCGCCTCCAAGGGCACCCTCCCTCCGGGCTGGTCGGGTGGTGGCAGCAGGCA